GAGCAAGCCAGCAGTGACAGATCTAATTGAAAGCACTTACATCTTTAGAGTACACGAATGATGCAAAGATTTACCTGTGGTTATGAAGGGAATGTGTGCAGACTCTGTTTCACAAAGAAACGCTGTGTATGCCCTTCTCCTCAAGAGTCTGTCTTTTGTGCCTTCAGTACCTACAGGAGTGATCAGGAATGCACAGAGTTTGCATTCCTGCAGATACATTATCTGAAAGTGTGGCCCTTTGTTTGCTTTCCTCCTGTTTTGTTCTGTTAGTCCTTCATTGTAAGAGAGACCTGTTTATACATTCCATTTTTCTCAGTCTTCTTGGCACCTTACGGTCAAACACTACTCCAGATTGATCCCTGGCTTTACAATCCACTGGGAGTACAGTCCATAGAAGAACAGACAAAAGAGTGCTCTCACCATCTGATGATTTCATTTCTAGCTCTCCAGCACCTTTTGTTATTTCAGGGTATTTTTTCCTGGTGGGAACGGGCACATTCAGCTGTTGTTTTCATGCTGAAAGCCTGTGTGGAAGCACTTCCCTGTTGTTTTGGTTTTTTTTTTTTCCAGACATGTCTTTCAGCATGTTTCCAAAGGCTTGGAATCAGCACATTGTGTTGTGACATGTGCATACTTGACATTGCTTTGTTCTCTGACTTCCTTTTGCTTTGCAATCTTTAGGAAGTTATCTTACAATTAGCAAGGAATTTTGAGTCAGTGTTATTGCAGACCCAGCATATTGTCCTCTGCCATCTGCAAAGAGGAAAGCCTGCAGGAGCAGGAGGGAAGAAAGACATTTTGGTATTTTTAACTGCCTGAACCACGTAGGATTCAGTTCACTGCATAAACAGTGACTGCAGCTCTGACTGCTGCCTGAAAAAAAAGTTGCATTACACACTAGAAACAACTTATTTATTAAATGAATTAAAGGCAAAGCAAGGGCATTACAGTAACTGTATGCAATTTGATACACACATCCTTTTTCTGTGTTTTGCCCTTGTTAGTGATTCTCTTATCATACAGCAAAAGCAACAAGCTATCTTTTTCCTGAGAAGTTTACATAGAATTCTTTTTTTCTCTTTTCAAATGTGCACCTTTATGTAAAGGAACTCAGTTCATTTCTCCTGTAAATGTAGCTGATGAAAACAAACAATTTTCGTACGATCTCAGAGCTAAATACATTCATTTTCAGCTGACTAAAAAGCAAAATTTTTTCACATTTTATGTTGTTCTCCTTTTTCTTCTTGTATTTTAGACCATCAGCCTCCTAGAGCACAGACAAGAAGCCTGGTTTTGAACTGCTTCCCTGTTTCTTGAACACAGCTCAAGAAAGGGAGAAATGGCAGCACATTTGGGGCAGGAGGAGAAACCTTGAGAGCTGTCTCAGAAAAACTTCCATAGCCCAGTCAGGCACCACCTGGGAATACTGAGAACACCTTTAAAATGGTAAACACACTGAAATGCCTACCATTGTGCCAGAAAAAAAAGAAAAAGAGTAGGAGTAGGAATAAGAGACAGTGCCAGGAAGAAAGCAGCCATACCCATGTTGATGTAACACAGAGACCTTCTCCATGGGAATGATGTCTGCAGTCAGCTCCTTATTTCTGGACAGGAGTGAGGGACATACCATGCAGTCAGACAAGACTTCTTGTACATCACAGTGTCAGGCACGTGTGCTACACCTCTCTGAGCATCAGCTTACTCTGGATCTAAACACTCAGGTCTTAACTTTTTTTGCATTATTTCTTAATAGATGTGTGATTTATAACAGGACTGTATAAGCAAGTGTTTGTCCATTATGGGAAAAGCACCTCCCTAAGTAATATTCTGAGTAGCTCCTTCTTTATATGCCATAGAACACACATTGTAATGTTTGGAACAAAGATTTTGGTGTCAGGAGGCCTCATCTTCCTGCTCAAGTGGAGAGATTTTTTTTTTCCTTAGAGCCAATAAAAGTGTAACAAAACATCTGTTTCAGGCTTCAAGACCAGACCTGAGGAAACAGAGTTTTTTTTCAGACACGCAGAGGACCTCTAAGCATCAGTAAGGAGTCTCTGCTTTTCACTGTGCTGATTTCTCTCCACCAAATCCCCTAAAATACACCACTCAAGTGCATCCACACAGTGGAGGGTAATACAGTGACACCCAAACAAACAGCAGCTGGATTAATTTCCCAGCTGGATTCTGCAGGGGCATGTGGGTGCAGGGCTCTGCTCGAGTTGTGAGAGCAGCTCTACAATTTCCAGACAGCACTGCACAGACAATCCAGGATTTCCCAGAGACAGATCGGATATCTGAACACCACAGTCCTTGGCTCTGGATAGACAGGCTGGGTCCATCACAGGAAGTCCGGAATATTGAGCAATTATTCAACCACTGAGCAAGACAGGGCTGTTTAGATCCCAAATGGTAAAGCCTTGCTTAATTTTTTTCATTATGAGCTCTCGCTCTGAAATCTGTTTTTCAGATGACTGCATAACAGGGAGAGTGTATGTCAAAGTCTGTGCAAGACTGAGAGCTTGCAACATAACAATGAATAAAGTCTAAAATATATATTTGCCAAAAATACAGGAATCATCATTCATATGGACATACCAGAAAGAAAGAAAACCATGCTGGAAATTCTAACATAAGAAAATCAACAAGAAGGAAATTGGGGAGGGAAAAAAAGGCTTTTCCTAATGTTAGAAGTTTAGTGTTTCCCTTGTTTATGGCAAAAAAATTCCCCACAATTCAATTTGCTAACTTCAGAATCTAAGGATTAAAATGTTTGGAACATAAAACCAACAAGAGCAAAGAGAAAATTATTCTTCCCTCACAAATTTGTTTTTAGTCACTCAGTAAATGCTTTCTATTACTACAATATAAATGGCATTGTGAGTGCTCACTTATGACAACCACAAAAATTGGAAGTTTGTATTATGTCCTGTCCTGCATGGGGCACATCAGATGATTCCTCATATATTAAATAATTCCTTCTGTAATATATTTTCCATACATAGGCATACAACTTGATATAGTAAATAATCATACATGGGCACAGATAGATTCAGGATATTCTTCTAAAAACCGCTTGTTTTATTTATTTCTTTTTTTTTTAACAGAACACCTCAGAATAATCTATCATTTTTTGGCACCACTGTCATTTATTAGTGTTATCTAAGTTGTACTACTTTCCTTGTCACATCATAAGTTAACCTTCCCTAATCACCACCCTGGACATTAACCAGGCCCTCCCTGGGGAGGTGTTTAACCAGAGCCACGATTTTCCTGTTATTATGTACTCCAGGGTTCTGAAAGCTCTTGTGGATTTCACTCAGAGACTGAGAATAAATCCATGTGAGTCTAATGCTAGGAATTTAACACAATAAACGGATACATGTCTACTTTAAACGAACTCCATAGCTGGTGGCATGGAGAGATCCTCAAAGAATCCCATTTTTTGCTCTACATCCTGCTTTTTTGGAAACCTAATAGGAATGGTTTAAAGTCCTCCTCCTTTCTCAAGCACCCAGCAGTTTTTTTCCCTGGACATCCACGGGAAGCAACAGAATGGCAGAGGTCCAGGGAAAAGGTAAACTCCTTCTGAAAGCACTGCAAGGAAGCACTTAGGCTGCAGACACATTACTCATGAAAGACCATTAGTCCAATCCAAGAGCTCAAACAAGACCTTGAAGACCAAATGAATTGGTCAAAAAAGCCAACCAAACAAAACTCACAGTAATCCCTGGTTTTCACAGGGAGGGATACAGACCAAGCAGAGAGCTGACAATTCAACATCTACTCTCTTGAGGAATATTTTTCAGCCTTAGAAGGGAAAGTTGTTGCCAATACATCCAAACCCAAAAATTTCTCAGGCTAGGAGAGGAATCCAACAAGAGACCAGCTGTGCTGAGTTAAAGCACTCCACTTAAAACATCCCATCAATCACAGAGCAGGAGAGTGCTGACGTTATTTGTATGAAATGTAAGAGTGCTATTACTCACCTGCAATTAAAAAGAATAGTTTGATTTGGTTTCTTGCCGAGAGAATTATGTGAGTATTTTCCTTTTTGCCAGGTTATGAATTTTGCCAGCTTCCATAATCTGAAGGTAGTATTCCAGGTTCTGACTAAATTGTGAATGACACAAGTCAGATCATTTTGGAGGGGAAACAATTCTTTTTCTGAAACCTAAATTATAAACTTTTATATTTTTCATCCACATTCTCTGCAAGAGGCTGGCTTGCAGTGTCATGAAAGCACAGTTTTAATTGGTACACTTTTTGGCACAGTTTGAGAAGAGTCCAAGATCTGCATGGAGACTTGATTACTCTATCCTCTCTGGATTTGGGCCCCCAAGGCATGGATTAAGATGAGACACTAATGGGGCAGCATGCAAAAGCTTGTATTACTGAGATAGATCTCCTTCATGGATAAAAAGAAATAGGAACTTTCCAACTTTCAATTCTAAGTGAGAACAAAGCTAGAGATAAGGAAAAGTGTCAGACAAGGACCTGGGCAAAGACTGGTAATGCAGTGAAAGCATCAGAGCCATCTAGAGGGGATTTTGGCTGGGTTGCATCTTCCAGTGTTAGGAAGCAGCAGTTCACAAGGCTCTGAGTGCAGGTTTATACCATGTCTGGCAAAGGGACAATTCAATGTGCATTAAATGCATGCATGCAATTAAAAAAACAAACAAAAAAAGACAGAAGACAAGCAAGGGCAAGTAACAACAGTTATAGTAAAGAGAGTTATTCTAGAGAGAGAAACTCTTTGGATAAATGACCTTGGTTCTGTTGTTTGGGGTTTTTTCCCCCATGTTCAAATCTACCATTTTATCTGTATTTTTTTCAGCTGATATTGAGATTCCCCATAACAAATTGCCTCCGTTTTCATCAGAGTGAGCACACATAAAAACCTTGAGGTATTAAAAAAAGTTCTTCTCTCTCCCAGAAACCTTTGCTTGAGGACTTCTCTTCTAAAAAATAAAATTAATAAAAAACAAAATTGGAATACTCACATCATAGAAAACAATTAGTAAGAGGAGTATCCATGCAGCTATCTTAAAGCTATTTTTTGATTCATGTCATGAGAACCATAAAGTTAGTTAACCAGGGCTGGGTGTAAGCTTCAGCTCTATCTTGATGCTGTATTAGACAGTATCCAAAGCATCCATATGTCCACCCCTTCACTTTGGTTTCTGAAAAAAAAAAAAATAAATAAAAATTTAACTTTGTGAGCCTGAAGGGTCCCTGTTTGTGCTCTGGTGCTTCAGGAGATGCCACACAGCATTTATCTTACACAAGTAAATAAAGCCAAGAAACATAACTTATGAATTGAAAAAAAAACCCAGCCTTTTTAGTATCCAGTAGAAGAAAAGTAACCACTCACTCTTCCCTGAGGTATTCTCACTCCTAATTTCAAGAAACCATCTAAATGTTTCACCCAAGGGGTTGATACTGCAAAGCAACAACCGAACACAGCCTTAGGAGAGACAAGTATTTTGTCACGTAAAACTTTCCCTGCCAGTTCCCTCCCATGTGGCTTTTTCCTTCTTCTCAAACCTCCTGAGGATGTTTGAGGGCTTAGATAACACAGAGTAACCTGTCTTCTTGTAGTGGAGAGACAGAATGATTTGAAACCGGCTTATCTCAGGGTCATATCCTGCCATTGATTTTTTTCAGTACTCCCCATTGATTGCAGAGGTGAGTTCCACATACAGATCAATAACAGGATATGGCCTTTATTTATTAGTACACTTCTGGTCCTTCCACTCTACCCTAATGCCTCAAAACACGTGGAATTAACTACAGCATTCAACATTACATTGGCCTTGTTGTCTTTAGAGGAGAGCTAAGCCTTCATTTGGTCAACAGAATAATTTGAAAGGATTGTTTGGTGACATCTGCCATTGATCCAGAAATAGATCATGTGACACATTCTTTAGGGGCAGGGCTGAAGGAAAGCAGAAGAGATAAGTGGATAATAAGCACGTCCTTTGGCTTACCAGCACTTCCCACTTGCAGCAGCACTAAATTCCTAGAAGTTTCAGGCAGTGCCTTGACAATGAAAAATTCTCTGCATTGAGTCAATGGTCTGATTTTCCTGACCTAGCCTGATCTTAAAGACATCACGTTCTAAAGAAATATGTGGTGGGCACTCAGCTGAAAGTTCCCCTACTATTTATTTCTGAACTTCATCAATATCTTTTACTTATCACATCAGGCATACAGAAACTGGAATTTTCAAGGAGTTCATCAAATATGCATTTTTTACTTCCTGGGGCTTGGAAGAGGAAGTTGACCTGGAAAAAATAGTATATATTCTCCAACTGCCAAGAGGAGGACTAATTAGCATACATTCTCCATCAGCTGCCAAGAGCAGGACTAATTTTAGTTTTTAGTGGTTCTGACTCAGGGTCTTGGCCCAGTGCTGCAACTGGGCCCTACAGCTTTACCAGCTGTCTGCAGGGCTCAGGTTTGATACAGATTTCAAACTGCAAAGGAAATGAAAGGTAAAGTGTCTTTAAAGAGAAAGTGCCTTTTCATTTCTCCCTCTTACCACAAGATTTCTTCACAGGTGCAGGTAAAAACTAGCTGTGGGACTAAACTGAATGTTCTGCCTCCTGAGAAATCAGATCTTCTACTCAGTTATCACATTTAACAGCCAAAAAGCAATGCTATATTTAAAAGCAGGGTAAATAAAACACTTCCTTTCTAGGTGCTATGCCTACATTACCTTTCTGCAAAATAGCAGCAGGGTAACCATTTTCTGTGTTCAGAAGACTTTTTCTTTAAAACCAAAACCAACTAATCTTGTCAGTACTTCTAGAATTACACTAGAGGCAGAGCAGAAGATGAACAGCCACAGATTTTTCATCTCTCCTGGTACTGGGATGCAATAAGCCAACAGCTATTTCTACAAGTACTGCCTGTACCTGGGTATATTTGATTTAACCCAAGTGGGCAAAGGAACAAATGAGCAAGGAAAAGAAAGGGCAGAGGGAAAACGGAGTTTCAGCATTTCAGCATTTGTTGTACTGCCTTGGAGCCTTAGGAAAACATCAGTGTTTTCCTAAATACTTGCTTCTCTTGCTCTCCTTTACATCACTGAAGGGTCTGGCCTGTGCTTTAAGAAAATACTGCTCCTTTTCAATTGTATAATAGTGACAAAGTCCAGGTGACCCTAACACAGAGTCTGAGTGGTTTATGTCAAGCCTGGAGACAGTGACTCACAGAGTCACAGATGATCAGTTGATAAATGCCACCGGTATCAGAAACTTGGCCATTAACATGAGTGATGTGAGAACCAAGAGGTTAAGGTATGTGATACAGAAAAGCAACATTTTGACCCAGGCTTGGATTTTTGGTTTGGTTTCTCTTTTCCCCTTAAGGTGGATTTGAGTTTGTAACTTTTGCTTGCTTTGTAAGCTCTTTTTTTGAATGCAATGTACATTTTTTCATGGGTGGGAAAAGGCTACAAGAAATGTTAGAAAAAGGTTCAGATGAACCACCAGGAGGTCCAGTAGGATTTTTTTTTTTCTTCCCCAACATTCTGCTGCAACAATGCAATGTGTTTGCCACAGACTGCTGGGTTTTGGAATTGCCTTTGCTTCAAAGTGACTCAGGAGCTGTTTTTAACGTGTTTCTAGGAAAGAGCAAACTGCATTATTACACGTCTTACAAGCAGTAAGTTCCCTTATCTACAGTCAAACATAAGACCAAGGACTTTGCTGAAGCAGAGTCCTCATGGAATCTTCCCAAGTTTTATTGCTTAAATGCATAAGCAGGCAGCACCTTAGATAACCACTCAGAGCAGTCTTCTTAGCTGCAATTTAAGAATTCAATGTCATTCAAGTCATTGTGTCCCCTTTTTTTCTAATCTTCAGTGATTTAATGCAAAAAAACCTACAATTTAGAACAACTGTGGGCTGCCAACATGCAAAATCACATGAATTATCAAAGTAGAGGCTAGTATTTCATAGTGGGGATAACTAGTTCTGAAGCATTTGTATGTAAAGCATGTATGCTGTGTTTTTAGTGTGCCATGTATTCATTTACAGTCATATTTCTTTTCTTCATCATATTATTTTAATAAGAAAGAAGAAAAAGCAGTTTAGGCTGCTAAAATTACAGATGGATTTATGAGAATGCAGTCCATTCACCAGAGGATTTAAATAAATATAGGGAAGGGGGTAAGAAGCCTTCCTGGCCTGTGGAGGCTTCAGCCATAACAGAGAATGCACTTTGCAAGTCTGAGTATTTAATATATTTCACTCTAGTAAACATATTCCATTCTCTCTCAAGAGGAGAGGCTAAAGTACAATTGTTCACATATTCATCAACAATAATATGAACCATTAACAGAAATCCACTTTTCAGTAATAAATATTTTCCTGTTACATTTCAGTTTGAAATTGTTGTTTACCTACAAATAAAGGGTAGAGAAGGGTCTCCTTTTCTCTTTCTCTGTTCAAAATTATTTTCATTTATTCATACAGTGGGAAACACAAAAGATATCAAAATCAGAATGAAACATCACACGTGATTACTTTCTCAACCTCTTCAATAAAAACTTATTTTGGTGGAATTCCTAGTCAGTTCAGGATTTTGGAGATTTTGTTTCTCTCTGGTGTGTGAATAAGCATGGAAAGCTTTAAATATCTGCTTAGAGATAATTTTTATTCTGTGAACCCCATCTTAATCCTTGAATGCAGATTTATCAATTCATCCTTTCCCATCAGGAGCAAGACCACACTCCAGGAGTGCACCTGGGAGTTCCCCAGATTTGCAGTCCTATCCTTATGCTCTCCACACTCTGTCTTGCTGGCCACACAACACACATCAGGGTTCTGGCAAGGTGTGATTTCCCCTACGTGATCCTCCCTTTCACCTCTCCCATGCGAGCTTTGCTCTGCTATCAAAACTGCTGAAAGCTGGAAGTTATTAACCCATCTGTTGGAAGAGATGCTCCAAACTTTACTGAACCAGCCCTGAACAACATGGTCTACCTGGACCAAGTCTGAGCAGAGGCATAATTATGGCATAATTAAAGGAATTATATATTGTGCTTGGCCTTCTAAACCAGAGAGAAGCAAAATTTTTATCACAAATTGTAAAACTGAGGACTGAAATAAATTTTTACATTACAAAGTAGGAATTGTTAAGAATGAAAACTACATTTTGCTTCATATTAGGCCATGATAAGGTGAAAAATGCTGACATTTTTTTTCTTTTTTATAGTATTGATATTCATATCAGCCAAAGCTTCCAGACCTGACAGCAAAGTCGTGGATTTACATCTTACATTTCTTGAACTTTCTGGGCCTGGAAAACTTGGGTAACATGCTGAACTCAGAAATGATTTGACACTGTTCATTTGAAATGAAGAAGTAATATTTGGCTAGAAGTAAGGGGAGGCTCATTCTGTGGCTTAGGAATTCAACGTCTGGTTGCAGAAAACAGCCAACAAGCAAATCTTGCAACATTTGCGAGCAAGATGCAAGACTGTAAGATGATTACATCCTGGAATCTGTAGCATCCATCCAGTTTAGATAATCTACCAACATAGCACTCCTGAAAAGCAGGCAGCATGTATTGCAGTTGTTAGTAAAAATTCAAATGGCTTAGCACACTCAAGGGAAATCAGAATTGTCTCCTATGTGTCACATAAAAAAAGCATAGCAGCAGAGGAGAGGCTCCTTATGAGGACCACAGCAAAGGACAGAATTTGAAAAAAGTTTGAAAGGAGATGTTGGATCTGTTAGAGTGGCAGATTGGAGGTTATTTTGAAATGATGGGGTTATTATAGCTGTGTGAAATCCCCCTTCTTCACAAGGAAACAAACAAAATTAGAAGGAAGAAACCAACGAACACAAAAGTACAATTGTCATTTGTGCTGACTCTTTGGCTCCTAATAAATGACTCAAGCTGTGGACAACACCAGAGCACTCACCAGTTTGAAAGTCATGAAACTTTTCCAGAGGCTGTTTCGTTTATTTCTGTTGTAGTCAAATCCACTTAACAGAGCACTGTGATAAACACCACTCTCCCTTGAGTTGTCCTGATGGCCAAGAGACTGAGTGCCAGGTGCTCTCAAAATGTTGTAAATAATTGCCTGTCTCATCCACTTAAGAAGCAGAGCTGCCATTCTCTGCAAGACTTCTACGTTTTCCTGATATACCTGCTGGCTGCTGCTCTT